TTCATATTAATATTAATCTCAATAAAAATGATGAACTTTGGATATATATATATTAACATATATCTGAAACTGCAGGTTCGAGTACATATCAAATTTAAAAAGAATATTTGGTTTTGAACTTCAGGTCGAAATTTGTATTAATATGATATTTTTCAAGATAATAAAATAAAACGATAATAATATATTAAAAAATATATATAGAAAATATGAAATCCAAACAATGTTGAAACTTCAAGTTCTTAACATGATGTATATTTTTCAACCCATATTCATAATACATATGCACTTGTTGAAATATCAATTTGGAGGTTGACACAATTAGAACTTCAGGTTCTAGAATTTACCTATTTTAATGCACATGTGGCCGAAACTTATAGTTTGGATTAGACTTAATAAGAACTTCGGGTCCTAAGATATTTGAACTTCGGGTCATATGAAGAACTTCACGTCCTTAAATATAAATTATTGAAATGAAAACAAATAACTGAATATAACAATAAAATAAAATAAATTGTTGGAACTTCTGGTTCCAAGTTAGGGAAAAATCAAAGAACTCCAAGTCTTGATTTACTTTCTGAGAATTGCAGAACTCCAAGTCCTTATATAGATATTATATGGATTGAGAACTAAGAGACTTCGGGTCTTTATTTAATTATATAAGAATAATTTAAGGACTTCAGGTCCTTGCATAAAATAAAAATGAAACCAAAGAAAAGAACCAAGTAAAAGTAAAATACAACAACAACAAAATATTACAATAAAATAAATTGTTGAAACTTCTGGTTCCAATGAAAAAAGAATCAAAGAGCTTCAGGTCTTCATTTGTGTTTAAAGAATTGGGGAACTTCAAGTCCACAAATATTTATATTATAAGGATTGCCTTTTAAGAACTGGTCCTTACTTATAAAATATTGACAAAAATAAAATACAACAACCAAAGTAAGACAATAATTAAATTGCCGTAAAATAAATAGTTGAAACTTTTGGTTTCAATAAAAGTGATTGAAGAACTCCTGGTCTTTTATGCCTTTTGAGAAAAATGAGGAACTTCAAGTCCACAAATTGTTATTTTACAAGTATTGATACGGACTAGCCTTCAACCTGCCCTTGTGGTTCATTGCGCTTGCACTAACTCCTAGTGGTCTTGGGTTCGAAGGTTGGTACCACATTCTCAACAAGTATTGATACGGGAGATCTTCTTGTCCCAATTAATTGAAAATGAATTTAGGAATATGTAAACCTTAATTGACTATAAATATAATATAGTACGCACCAATAATTTCCTCATATCACTTAGAACTTTTGGTTCTATAATTATCACATTTGTTCAATATTTAAACTTCAGGTTTAAATTATTATGATATGGACTTCAGGTTCCAATATCTGAATTAACAAAATCCCTTTTTCATTCAGGTACATGGTGCTAAAGTTGTTCACAATAAATTGAACACATTACTGTACAGTGGGATTTACACAGCTCAAACGAGACTACACAGCTTATGAGTGTCTTCAAATTTATAAACCATAACAATGAGATAACCAACTAATAATTGGTATTGATCAACATGGTTCACGTTAACATTTAATCACCTTTTCACTTTGTGAACCATAAAATTATTTATGTACATACACATATATAAAAGGATTTTCTTGCCTTTTTAGATGTATAGAAATTGTAGCTTCTGGCTCATTCCTTTACATGTATAGAATTTAGGATTTTCAAGTCCTTCATTAAATATATTGAGGATCAAGATCTTCAGGTCTTAATTCCCCCTTTTTTTTTTCCAGCTCCATCATAATACACATAGAGTGTAACCTATATTATCTTTTCGTTTCGTATAAATGGGCATTGATTGCTTCTGGCAATTATGATTTCAGTTATATATATAAAATAACCATAAGTATCAATATTATATTACTACTGTAAAACAAAATTAACTAATAACCCAACATAAATAAAAGAGTAAAGTGGTATAAACAAGGAATAAAATAAATAAATTAAAGACTATGAAATTCCAAGATAATATAATATTAATATGGATTCAATATGTAGATAAAACTACAAGTTTAAGAATTGGATTTCCAACCAATTCAGGTTCATATAGGCACAAATAAGTAATGAACTTCAGGTTCATATATAGTATTAAGATCCATGAAAAACTATGAACTTCGGGTTCATATCAACATATATTCGAAACTTCAAGTTCGAATACGTAGATCTAAATAAATTGAATTAATAGTTGTGCTTTGAACTTCATATGTAGACCTCATGGAATTCTGATTTTGATTAATACAAAATCAAGGAGTTTCATGTCCTTATGTGCTCTTTAAATTCACGGAACTTCACAACCTCAATTATTTGGAATCAAAGAACTTCAAGTTTTGATTCAATCAAAAGGGCTCTATGTCCTAATCAAGTTATATGATGCGGATCGAGGAACTTTGGGCCCTGATCTTTTGTATAATACAAACTCATTATAATAATTAAGATCAAATAAACAAACAAATAAAAAAAATATGGCATTATATTCATGTGTAATAAGACTAAGGATTTTTTTTCTTAAATGAGCATGATGAAGTCTGATGGTGAGTACAAAGAAACTCTATACCATGTGATGACTCTAACTCATATAAAAAGAAAGAAAATTCAGAGAAAGAAAACATACCAAGAGCAATGTCGTGCTGATAACGTGTTATAAAACTAAGGGAAATTGTAGAGAGAATTGGAAAGTCGAGGAAGACAATAGAAATTGTTCAATCAACTTGTATTTCTCATCTTAATAAGACCTCTTATTTATAGGCTTACAATGGTAAGAAGACATTAACAACTCATAAGTTACAAGCCCATAACTATAGTATTTAGTGTATAGGTTACATAGAATTAGAAAGGGTGAATGCTAAGAGGTATGGTGGTCATCCACCAACTCATGCATTTACAACAAGCTGTCAATTTTTTCAATTTAATAGCTATTTTTTAGTTTATTTGTGTGTAAAATACCTATATTGCCCTTGTACTATGGATTTGAGAGACAAGTCAGATCTGCCCAGATCTGCCAAAAAAGCAGATTTGTCAAAAAACAGATCTGTCAAAAAACCAAATTAGATTTATTTTCTCCTTTCTCGCTGGTGCTTTCTCGGTGTTGGAATAAGAGGAGCTTCCATTGAAGCTCAGTCTCAAGTCCAACTATATTATTCATTTATGATCTACAATTTTCAATATTTCACATTCGATTTCTTGTTCTAAAATCATGCTTCTATTGATATATTTTTTTTTTCTTCAGATTTTTCGGAACCTCGAACAAACCTCAATCAGATGCTCTTAGCTCTACTCCTCATCTTCGAGCTCTACTCCTCTTTCGCCACGTCGTCGTTGTCATTGTCGTCATCATCGTCATCATCGTCATCGTTGTCGTCGTCGTCGTTGTTTGGTTTGGACTTGAGATTTTTTATCTTTTGCTTTAATTATGTGTTTCTCTTCGGATTTTAGTTGATTTTCGAAATGTAGTTTAAGTTTTGATGATCGATTTATCTTTTGTTACTATTTCAGTTATGGATCTCATTTTTGTTTAACAATGTACTTTTATGACAAAGTATTAACAATGTACTTCTATGACATAATAGTATTAACAATCTAGGCTCGGCTTATTTTGAGTTGGTCTGATTTGCTCTTTCTTCATCTTTTCTTTGGTGGACATGTATTAGAAATAGTAACATGACAAGCATTAATCAACATGACAATAAACTAGCAGTGTTATTTCCCTAGACTGGAACATTACAAGGGTAGACATGCATTAGAAATAGGATGTCATATGAAACTAGCAGTGTTATTACCATAGACTGGAACATTACAAGGAATAGACATGCATTAGAAATAGGATGTCATAGGAAACTAGCAGTGTTATTACCCTAGACTCAAACATTACAGAGGGTAGACATGCATTAGAAATAGGATCTCATAGGAAACTACCAGTGTTATTACCTTAGACTGGAACATTACAGCCATTAATCAACATGACAATAAAGGTGTGGAACATTACAGTCATTAATCAACATGACACGTTAATGAAGCTACGGTTTTCAAGACGTTTTGTTTGTAATGAATTGTTTGGGTTTTTTTTATAAAATTGGGTTGGGCTTGTTTTGGGTGCTATTTAAGTTTTTTTTGTGTTGGGCTTCTTTTAAGTTGATGGCAGTCAAGTAATTTATAGGAACTTTAACACCAATTTCTTATGTAGTAAATGAGTTTTGAGTGTGTTTTTAAAGTGCATTCCATGTGGGGTTTATTTTTTATTTTTTATTTTTTATATAATTTTAGCCCATATTTTGGGTATATTAGTGAAGCTCTCTTAATTAATTGTATAAACCGTAATTATATTCCATTTATACACGGAAAATACTTTCCTTCCTTCCCTAGTAACATTCTTGCTAATGGCAATATGACATGTCTACATAAGTTTTTCTTTTATGTTTTTAATGAATTATTTTTGCACGTGTCAAACTGTAATTGATAGGAAGGAAGCAAGATCTTTTGTACACACCCTTCTTCCCTGTCTTTTTCTAATTTTTTTGGCTCCGAAATGGAGCATAACTATGGTTTATCCACAACCTTTTGTGCATTAGAGAGAGAGCATTTTGGCTCACCCTACTTAGGGCCTGTTTGGGAGTGCTTCTAAAAGGTCCAAAAGCGCTTTCTAATAACTAAAAGCGCTTCTGACAGCGTTTGGCAAAAAAGTTTAGAAGCGCTTTTGGGTCATAGAAGCGCTTCCTGGAGAAGCACCTGTTATGTGCTTCTTCAGGAAGCACTCCCAAGTGCTTTTTCACGAAGCACTTTAATCTTGTCACTGATGGACTACGCAATCGGCACACACACAAAACCACTTGAGAATAAACTAGATGTGTTGTGTTGAGATGATGAAATTCAAATTATGACCCTCAATTCTGCTCAAGATATCTGATACAATTCTTCAGCCAATAAGGCTAAGGTAAAATTTATAGCCTCTGTTCTTGGGTGAGTTTTGTCACCAGAAATAAATATATGAACTCCATTTTCCACGTATAACCAACTGCAACCAGCAGCCTTCTTGGCCTCCTTCCCTTTCATCTTCTTCCTTATTCTGCAAACCTCATCCCAATTTCTCTCTGCAGCATATAAATTAGCCAACTGTACATACCGATCACCAATGTCTCCTTCAAGTTTTAATAGCCTCTCCTCTGCCTCTCTAGCAAGTATGGTATTTCCATTTACTCTACAAGCATTCAAGAATGCCCCCCATATAATGGTGTCTGATTCTATAGGAATCTTTCTCATCAATTCTTTTGCCTTGTCAAGCTGGTTAGCCCTCCCGTACAAATCAATCATACAAGCATAGTGCTCAATTTCGGGCAATACATTGTAATCCTTTTTCATGGAGTAGAAGAACTGCTCACCCAATTCCACCAAACAAGAGTGTCGACAAGCTGATAGAATTGCTAAAAAGGTGACTACATCAGGTTTAATACCTCGCTCCAACATTTCATTGAAGATCTGGATAGCTTTATTTTCAAGCCCATGATGAGCATAACCAGCTAACATCACATTGTAAAGGATTATATCCCTGTCAGAGCCTCTCTTGAAAAGGCTTTCTGCGTAGGTAATACTCCCAGATTTTGAGTACATATCAACCAAAGCACTAAACAACTTCTTATCCACTTCGATCCTGCTCCTTAAGATGTACGCATGAATCTGCTTACCAGGATCCAGGGCAGCTTTTATTGCGCAGGCACCAAGAACACTGATGAGAATTGCAGCATCAGGAACTATTGATTCCTTCGCCCTGAACTCACTTAAAAGTTCAAATACAGCTTCGCATTTCTGTGATTTGAGATATCCAGAAAACAAAGCTGTCCATACAACAGTGCTCTTTTCAGCCAATGAATCAAAAAGTCTCCGTGCTTCTACTAGGTTACCATGAAAGGCATGGCCCATAATCATTGACGTGACCGAGAAGGAATTTTCAAACCCCATTGCTGCGTGAACTGACTTTGCATACTTCATATTGCCACACTTACAGTAGACATCAACAATTCCACTGAGTATAAATGAATTCGAAGTCATCCCATTCTTCAACACCCAAGCATGGACTTCCCTTCCATGTTTGAAGCTCCTCAGGCCGGAGCAAGCACTTAAAACACTAGCAAAAGTGTGCTCATTCCGCCTAAATCCATTCTCCGCCATACGGACAAACAGATCGAGTGCTTCTTCTTCAAAACCATTCTGGGCATACCCTGCAATCAATGTGTTCCAAGACACATTATCAGTCAGCTCCGGTTCTGTCCAAAATAGATTAACTGCCACTTCCAATTTTCCTTCTCTGCAACAAGCTGCCACCATTGCATTCTTTGAAACCAAGTCAACCACCTCTCTATGTCCACTAAAAACCCACCACGCTTCTTGAAAATATCCACACTTAGAATACATATCAATAAGTGAGCTCACCGCGAACCCACTTGAATCATTGGCAGTTTTCACCATAAACGAATGCAACTCCCTTCCATAAGACACCACTTCTAACTTTGCAGTCAAGTTCAGCATCGTTGTGAGACTAATCTCATCAATTCTAATCCCATAATCCAGTGACTTCATTTCACTGAATAGCTCAAGTGCACAATCCTCATACCCGTCTGCGCTGACGTAACCAGATAACAGTGAATTATAGGTGACCAAATCCTTGTACGAAGCAGAGTCAAATAACTGGCGGGCTCGCTTCAAGTTTTGTGCTTTTATGTGAGCGGATATAATGGCATTCCAAGAGAAGACGTTTCGTTGGGGCATTTCGTCGAACAGTTTCTGGGCTTCTCGTAAAAGGCCATTTCTGGAGTACAAGTGTATGAGTTGATTGGAAGTGAAAATGGTTAGCGGAAAACCGGCTTTTATGGCTTGAACGTGATATATAAGACCGTCTTTTAGAAACTGCATTTATATACAATTTGCTTATCCCTGTCCCTCTGCTTTGATGGCGTTCTCTGAACGAAAAAATATCAGAAAGAAAATTATAAGCGCGTTTGCGCGGAAAGGCGGTAAAGACAAAGCGAACCCATTTCAAACGTAACTTCGTCTTTTGAATTGAAGGTGCCAAAAACCATTCGCTACTCATACGACATCAACAATGACGTCGTTAGGGGAGTGCGTGGGTGCTAATATAATATGTACCAAAACGAGGTCCTTTTTTTTTTTTTTTTTTTTCATTATTAATTTTTTTTTTTATGTGTAGTATTATTATTCAATAATATTTGAAGAACACATATACCCTATGTGAATTATACTTTATTATTAAATAGCTTGTAAGAAAATAAATAAAGGTGCATTAAGCGTGAAGAATATGCATGTACATTACGTTTGATTTTTAAAAAACTTGTAGTGTATGAAAAACAGAAGTATTTGAAAAAAAAATTACATACGTATGTGTATAATACACAAATTTAGAAACTAGAGCAAAGATGCATATATTTTTTGTTGATGCTGGCCAAAACCAATATTATTTTCATATTTCAGTAGATAGCAAATAAAGAAATATCTGAAAAAGGCAAGACTGTTATGCAGTTCATTGAAATTTCATGTTGGTATAATGGTAATGCTATACAGTTAAAATGGTAAGTATATTCTTGTTGTGCAGTGAAATTTCATGTAAAGTTCATTGAAATTTCCAATTACTCAGACAAGCATAAGCCTTGCTTCCGTCATCCAACTCTGACAATAGTAAACAACTTCACAATATGCTGAATCAGATAATGAAATGATGTCTCCTTGACAACTTTAATGTATGAAGAACATTAGCAGAAAACAAAGATTGGCATGGTTCCTCAAGTGAAAGTTTCCCTCTGATTTACAACAATCTAACTGATTCAGCTTGATTCGCAGTTCCATGGTTTTACGGCATTGATTGATGGAACACAACTTTGGCAGCCGAGTATACCGACCTTGCATCATCTGCATGGAAAATAATTACACAACAATCAATATATAGAGCCTTGCGTCAAATAGTGGAATCTCTTTCATTCATGTCAAACCACCAGAAGTTACAATGGTTTTGCCTATCCCAAAAGACGATAATATTTGTGAAAATTAAGTAGACACTATAATGTGGATGTCCCTCAGAAATGGGTTCACAAATATTTTCTTTTCTAACTTGTTAACATCAGACAAATAAGGCTGTGTGTGTGTGTGGTAACTAGGTTTACTAATTACCATTCTGTGTGATCTCAAGCATCACATTTTGGAGTACAGGATATTTCAGTGATTTCACAATAACTCGAAATTCTGCAACTAGGCCATCTTAGTTGTCTAATGCTCTGCAGTAATCACATGCACCGAATGGTATGGGGCAAATATTAACACTCATGCAATTTCACACACACTTTATTTCCTTTTTATGCAAAATATACTACCAGATGGGGTTAAGTAGGAAACCTAGCTATATGCAAAATATACGTTCAAACTCGTACCTGCAATTGCAGCCAAATTAAATACAGAAGGCACATTGGTCTCTCCCTCAACTGCAGCTTTGGAAGCTGCAATACCAACTGCCAGACTTTGCATCACATCTAAACCTGCACAAATAGAAGCGATAGTTCCCCCAACCAAGCAATCACCAGCCCCTGTAAGCCTCACCACTGATGCAGGAAGTGCAGGAAAATGCACAGCAAAGAGAAACGAGCTTCCCTCAGAATCCAGAGGACTTGAGAACAGATTTGAAGGACAACTTGCAGTTACGGTATTGAATAATTCCCCATTGGAAACAAAAGGTTTGATTCCCTCACAACCAATTCTCATGAAGCTTGGTCCTCCTCTCGAACATAAGAACACTCCATCTGAACCAACTGTCACAACAACTATTTTAATACCCTTCTCTAGCAAAACCCAGACTGCAGGTTTTAGCAAATGGAACAAGGTTTCTGTTGAACATTTCTTTCTGCTATTGTTCCTTTCAATCGGACGATACACATTTCCACCAGACAAATTATTTGCCATGGCAACAAGTTCATCTTCATTGGGTGAAGCAAAAGTTACCTGTACATAATAACCAGCATGTTAGTTGCAAATGAGGATAAAAAAGAAACCCTGGAAATATAAAGACTACATCAGGGTCAAGCATATAACTGTTTTTATTAGTTACCCTTAAATAGTTTTTTCTTTAAATAGTAATGCATGTTTTGATTAAAGATGGCAAGGGGTTGAACCCAAGTAACTTACAAACAACAACATGATTATACAATGAGATCCATCTCTGTAAAATTTTATTATATATTAATTCCTGTACATGTAAAGGGAGGCCGTAAGGTAACCAGTTCCTTTTTTTCCATAACCCCTCATCCCAGGCAGAAAAACATACCAAAAAAAGGATAAGAACACGTAGCTACTCATCAACTACAACTAGAATCATAAAAAGAGCGTAACCCGTTCTACGAGTGACCTGGATCTAACATTTAAGAAGAATTAATAGCAATGTGGACATAAGAGCAAAAGGACAACACTCACATACTTGACAACTGAACTGATTCTTCGAGATTTTGCTACTGATACAGGTTCAAACCACACCGGAATTTCGCATTCTGCTGCCACTGAAATAAACCCAAAATAAGAGAAGAAAATTGAGAATTGAGTAAAAGATACTGAGAGAGGGAGAGAGGGGGAGAGAGAGAGAGATCTAAAGTAAAATGTAATAAATACACTGGCAAGAAGCTTTTAGAGCAGAAAGAGTCAGGTTTGCATCAATCATCAACACTGGAGCAGAGCGTATATTATATTTGAACTGCTGGATCCACTCAGGTGTTAGAAATTTTTCCTGTTCCAGGGTCATCATGTAAGCATTAAATGTTCTGAACATGCCATTCTTAACTTAAGCTTTGTTTATGTTTTCAATTTAACAACTCTCATAAATAAACAAATTTCTTTTATCGAACTTGAACTTACGATAGCTTCTACACTTGCAACAGCAGCAGCCAACTCCCCACTAACATCAAGTACATTGCACACAACAGGAGTCTCAATGTTTTGGTGCTTCCAAATCCCTAATCCAAAACCATCATAACATATTAATACACGAGTACGAATTGTGCTGAGATGCTTTAATAATTTCAAGATAAAGGAAAAATGACTAAATTTTGATTGTAAATTATCCCTGACAGACACACCGAAAGATAAGTCAAACTGACTAAATTTTGGTTGTAAATAGAGTATCTAAAACCTTATTGCAATCTGGAGTTATAACTATAATCAAAAGTCACCGAAGATGAAAGGTAAATTGCAAACATAATAGATGACCTTCAGTAGATAGCCCAGAAGACTTCCAGTGCTCCAACAATAAGTTTCCTAATGAAAAAGAAAATATGTGTAACTTGTCAGTTTCACAAGTCATATGTGCTGTACAAAAATTGTGATTATGTTGCAAACACAATTCAGATAAAAATATATTAGAAAAACAGTCAAAGCCTAGTGAATAAGCCTGACAAGGAACAAATAGAGATGTTTTGAGATTCATGTGTTAAGATTATGGTTATCAATCGTAACATCAGATTTGGACTATGGAGTGATTACAATGAACACTGCAATTTGAAGTATGTTCATATTGCTACTCAAATCACTGGAAACCTGGCATCCCAACATTATGATATATCAAAAAGTATCCCAGCCCCAAAAGCATTACTTGATATTTTCCAACTAAGCATCCAAACAATTCTTATCAATTTTACAAAGTACTATTGATGATGAAACCTGCATGGCTCTTGTGGTTGTGGAGGTTGGCAAGCAGTAATTGTAATGATAAACAAAAAAAGGTCAGAAGACCACCTGGCATGTCAAGCCCCAAGGCACTAATCATGAATGGCTTTGCTCCTAGCTTTGATATGCACTCAGCAACATTCCTTGCTACCCCTCCTAGTACATAGCTGACCTGAGTAGATGATTCCCATAGATACGCACACGCAAATAAATATCTAATAAAAGAACAATCTTACTGTGTTAGCAGTGAAAACCAATTTTCCATCATTTCAAACATAAACTTCAAGGTACAATTATTTAAACTCAGCCCTTGACGGTACAAGAATTTGAAATGTCAAAATACTGCAAATAAATATCTAATAAAAGAAAATGAACTCCCAATTTACAGCCCTGCTGAAGACTCTCACTGTTAGCAGTGAAAACCAATTCTTCATCATCTCAAAGTATAAACTTCAATCTACAATTCTGAAAATTGGGGGTACTAAAATTTGAAGTCTCAACATACTCAAACAAACTCACATGAAAACTACCATTTTCCATGTGGGCATAATTCATTAGCCATTTTATATTCTAAACTAAGAGAATTGGAGCAGAAGAACTTTTCCAGAAGCTTGAAATTGCTTAGCATAGTGGAATCTAAAATACCAAATTGAATTAACTTACCAGACACAAAAGAGTACAATGACAATTTTGGACATACAATTCCAATTCACCTAATAGAAAAACTTCATATGAAAAGTTTGTGGGGAAGAAAATTAAACTTACCTTACCTGGAGTAGTGGTTCTGGGATTGGCAGGGATAGAAGGTGTGGCATGAATGTCCAACACCATTCCTCCTATCACCACAGGCTCTGCCTCCTCACTCTTCACTTGCCCATTATTTAATAACAGCACCTTGTAGTAGTTAAAAATCAAACTTTATCAAATACAGCATATTTTCTTTTTCCACCAAGCTTCTCAGTACATAGTGCAAAAGATAACCCAACAAAAAATAAAAGAAGAAAAATGGAAAAAGATTGTGGATGAATCAATCTCACCTGCTGCAGACCGTGATTAGCTTGAGGTGGTAATACAAGGTGACGAGAAATACAATCCAATCGCCTCCGTGCACTCTTCTCCATTGTCGTCGTCTGGTTTACAAGTACAGCTTCTGAATCCTGCTCTCAGTGAAGACTTCACGGAGACATAATAGTTCTTGGGCTCTTGCTCTGGTCAAAATCCTACTGGATAGTTTTAGTTGAAGCGCATAAGGTTGATCATGGCCTTGACAAGATTGGGCTGAACTGTGTTTATATGTATGGGCTAAGTTTGCTGTTGTTCGAGTCTTGAGCGTGGATCATCTCACACACACAAATTTGATCACTACACCCTAGCATGGCATCTGAAAATTTTCCCAACTTTTCAATTTTGACCCTTTCATTGATGTTTCTGAAAACTTCATAAGTAGTAACAAAAAATTTCAAAAATGCCAAAAAAAAAATTGTCATTGTTCTCATCTCATACATCTTCGTCGAGTATAGCGAGTAAATTTTTTAGCGTGAATGGCAAGGCTCTTTATTATTTGACAACATATTTTAGGATTTGTTTGGAATTGCTGTTTTAGGAAGTACCTTTGCTCATAATCACCTTTATTTTTAAAACGTTAAAATTTTTATAAAAAAATCTAAGTTTTTTCTAAAGAAACACATGCTATGTGAAGCAGGTGCTATGACCCAGAAACACTTTTAAATATTTCTATCAAACATTATCAAAAATGCTTTTTAATGTCATAAAGCGCCTTTAAGTGTTTCATAATCACTCCTAAACAGGAAATTAGATATATAATTAGTTAGGCCTTTATTAGACACGTATTGTAAGAAATGAGCTTATCATGAAAGTTAGAGGAGCCAAATTCGAATCACATGTCCTCCAATACTCAAAAGAATAAAGAAAAAAAAAAGAGCTCGTGAGTCATCTTAGAGAATATTGGCCTCAAGTCAAGGTTAGGATGAGGCAAAATCTGAAGTCATGATATTAGGCACATGAACAAGTAAAGTAATATAAACAAAAGGAAAAAAAAATGTTGGCCGTTAATCCCTTTTTGAAATTGTCCAAATACACAATCCAGAAGGCCCTCCTCCATTTGAGACAATAACAGTAGAGCCGGTTATCCACATTGACCACCACCTAGCGCTTATCCAACCGCCCACCTACCGCTAGCCTATCCTTCTTTTTTGGCCACCTTGTAAACAGTACATGCATGCATTTCCACATGTTTCACTTCTTTATATTCTTACCTTTTAAGAGACTTTTGTTCATAATTAAGAAAATTTGAGAACATCTTCTTCACGCCACTATTTAGGACGGTCTTCCACTTATCTTGATAAGTACGTGGGGAGTTTTATTAGACACTCATCTTTCTTAATACAATTACTAATCGTATACTAATCATGCTACACCAATCTAGAAAAAGTCTGAATCATGAGCAGAAATGGTCCTACGTTTATGCTAACATGGGCTATAACCCGGGTGACTTGATATTTTATAGTCCAATATTAATACTCAATCCACCAAAGCACACCTCCACACACCCCATCCCAGTGATCCCACCCATAGAAAATCTTTTTTTTTTCTTTTTTCTCTTTAGTTAATTAATATTTATTACTCAGCATTTTTCAGAAAACACACATTCCTAGAGAACATCCTTTACTTTTTGTCCAAAAAAAAAACCTTTACCTTTTCTAGTGTACATAAAACGTCAATTCATTATTTTTTTTTATAATAAAATTTGGCTACTTCTTCTCATTTTTATTTTCCAAGTTGGCTTAGTTGGATTAAATTGGTTTAGTTTTTTTCTTCTTCTTCTTTTGTAATGGATAATAACTGCTTTCAATTCTTTTCCTTTCATGGAGAAGTTTATCATGTAATTGCTAATTGACCTTAAAATTCATACTTCAATGAAATTCACTCGTACCGTCAAGTTTTTTAGGTTTGTATGTAAGATAAATTTAACTCACCCTATTTTCAAATCTTGAATCCATCCCTGATCATGAGATCGAAAATAGATAAACCTTGAAACTTTTAGCTTATAACTTCTCACCTACCAAATTATTTTGATTACATTCACTTAATAAAATATAAAAATCAAAGTAGCAAGGCACCAACCCAACCCATAAAGTCCATCTACTCAAGTGGAATACCATATTTGATGAATATTGGCATTTGAATTTCGAAATGATAAAGTGGGGTTCTGCTGAAATTTTTTGCAAACTTCAGTATGATGCTACTAAAAACCATTAACATTTTCAGTTTGTGTAGCAGTGTCGTGTTGTTGATGCCCTTTTTGTTCCATGCTCCTTTTTGGGAATGGAGCAGGAAAAGAGAGGAGGTTGAGTCAACACCAATGCCCCGATTGGATCTCTGGCTCATGAGAGGATTGTTTAATTTTGGACAAAAATTGAAAGTTGGATCATGTTGAAAATGGTAGGAGAGCAAGGGTTGAGCCCTGGCAACCTTCTTCTTCTGGCCCGATTCATAGTTTGTGTAGACGTACCACTATTAGGGATGAGACAAGCCCAATAGACATGGTATATGTGATGTAAAATGTTTTGTTCGATGGATTTGCGCTTGTTCGGGAGCTCTGATAAAGCCATTGTGCTCCAAGGGGGGTACTGGCTCGGATGAGTTCTTTTCTATGCCTCAATTAAGAGGACTTCAATATTCCTTCAATTGTGCGTCTATGGCTTGGGAGGTACGAACGATACCTAGCCAAACAAAAAAACCAATGTTGTTGTCAATGTTCCCTTGATTGGGTTCAAAAACCTCATTCGGGCCTAAGATAACCCTAGATTAGGTTAAGACATAGTGAATTCAGGCCTAAGTAAACCCTTATTTTCGGGCTAAGAAAGCCCTATTTGGACCTAAAAACCCTTCTTTTGGGCATGTCTAGCAATGAATAGTTATATTACTCTGAAAAGTAAAGATTCAAATATAAAGTGCAGGAAAGTAAATTACTGGAAAGTAAGGTGCGGGAAAGATAAATGGCAGGAATGTAAAGTGCGAGTAAGGTTAATTGCAGAGGAAGTAAAAGTTCTAGAAACTGGAGATTTCTCTATCCATCCCAGGCATGATAACAAATTAAGACAAAAGTTAAAGATTTCTCCATTTAGCTGTTTTAAAGAACAAGTTACAGTAATGAAGAGATTGGAGATTTCTCTATCCAATCCGTTACAAGTTTTAGCTGTTTAGAAGGAAGCTAGCCTAATTGTTAGTTAAGTGCAGGAGTTCTCAACTGGTTATCTAAGTAGTAAGTTGGCTATTTGAAAAGATTGAAGTTTGTTCAAGTGTTTAAGAGACGTTGCGTTTGATTTTGGAGAGAGAGTCCTCGAGTGCTGTTGTTGAGCCTCTATATTTATAGGAAAAATATTCCAACAATGACGGTGGTGGGTGAAGGATAAAACTTGAGTGTTGTCCAATGTCAGTTGTAGACCTGCCCTCGTAAGTTGATCCACGAGTAGGAGAAAAAATATCTTAGATGAAGATACTAGTTTCGAGGGATGTTCCTTTGATTTGCGTTCCTTTTGTAGTTGGAAAACCAGTCGGAAGACGACTCCTCTTGGTTTTGGCATCAGTCAGCCATCTTACTTCCTTGCTAAGAGAGACAGCAATCAAGTCGCTCTTAATGGTGAAAACCCATTTTCAACAGGTTATGTGGGTCAACTTGGTAACGGCTCCTCACTCATTGACTTTAGTGTGCGTTAAGACTGAGATATTTTGAGATATATGCCTTTTGAGTGAATTTAAACCAAGCAGTGGCCCAAACATAAAATCAAATGTCCTTTTTGTTGGTTTTGAAAGAATGAAAGTGAGCTTGGGTCGAATGTAATTTTAATATTTAAAAAATAAATCAACTTTGATCCGTTTTTCAAATATGGTACAAACACGTGTAACTTGGTTAGCAAACTTAAATGTATTCTCCAATGTTCAGTTTTGGTGCATCGAATGAAAGCACAAACAACCGGATTTATAAATCATAAAAACTTCAACAAAACTGAAGAATTTTCAATTCATATACTTCATTTGGAGGCTCTCCCATTCATAAAAAATAACATTTATTTTCATCAACTTGTGAGAGTATGAGAGAGCTAATGGGTGGGCTATGGCCTATCAAAAGTGGGATTTCGGGATGGATTGTCAACAAATAAGTTTGGATTTAAAAACAACTTGGTCTTCAATAGTAGTCATTTTATGTTATATTAATATTTTAGGGGATGCTCCCTCAGGTAAAGAACCCATTAGTATAATGGTTTGGAGAAATTACTCTCTCAGGCAAGGTTCTATATTTGAGTCCTAGCATTCGTGTAATATGTATGAGTTCAGTATATTATTGCCCCTCTCAATAGGAAAAGTCTTTAAAAAATTATATATATACAGAGAGCTTCTGTTGAGGGTTTATTTGAGGGATACCCTTGTAGGGCCCACTCCACATTGTATTTCACTAATCCAAACGTCTATTTTTTAGATAATCATTCAAAGATTGTTTCTACAAAAAATTACTTGAATCCAATATTATTTGACCACTCAATTAAGTTATTGAAATTTTAGCACTTTCTTGAAGCATTGTGTTCATTGATTTTGTAGGACACAATTGGATGTCAAAATGGTTTCTGATTTGTCTAAATCATTGGAAAAAAAATCGTAGGGGACCCTAAAGGGTGTGCCTCAATAGAAAGGGACTATATATATATTTTAGGGGATGCCTTCAATAAATTTAGGGGTGACAATAAATTTGTTCAAATTCTTCTTCCTCTTCTTCTTGTTACTATCATTACTACTAGTACATCATATATCAATCCTTTTATCATAGTCAAGCCCTGTGATTTTAAAGAAGAGGACCAAGCCCATTAATTTCAACTAAGAACTAAATGCAATAGGTACGTACTTCCATGATGCTGATGGTGAGCCCAATTTGATGATGATATATGTACAAAATTAATTCCAACATTGACAGGCATTACAATAAAGGTTGGAAAGGATTGTTGGCTTGTTCTGTAGCTAGATATGATGCAGCATATGAAAAAAGTACTGATTTTTCTTTGGTGGTAGACCAACCATGCTGGTTAATTATGATGAAGATGTGTCCTTGCTCTCTTTAAAATTAGTCACACATCACATTAATGTAATCCCTTGGCAATTATAAAATGGACAACACAAAGATTGTGGCCTACAATCTTCTAATTAATTCATCCTAAATTCCAAGTAATTGAGTCAATATTGACTTGAAGCTTCTGGTTGAAAAGTTTTGAAGGAAAAATCTGGCATCCATGTTAGTATGGAGTCTTTGAACGCATGTTGCGCCTGAAGCAATTAGGCTAAGGGCACACCTGCCTGAGCTTTACACG